ACTCTTTTTATGGAGACACCCATGAATCTGATGTCCCAGAAACTATTGTTTTGCATGCTGAGTGGGGGATTCTGGGAGTTGAAGTCCACTCATCTTAAAGTGGCCAAGTTTGGACAACACTGCTCTAGGAGTTCAAGGGAGCATATAGAGAACTCCCTCCATCATATCTACTGAACAACCACAATTCCTTGAGATAGTTAGGGCTTAAAATGGTGTGAATTGAATTTGAATATGCCCAGTTCCATTTCAATACGTGAACCACTAACCAAAGCCACCAGTGATTATCCTGCGTGTGTTTGAAACCAGATCAAACTAGACCTCACGTTTGAAAAGATCAGGTTTTGAATTATAAATAGAATTAATATAATCCCATTAGTTCTTAACACAGTTCCATAATATGCCTCTGACTCTCTCAAGGCAGGAAAGCAGTTATAGGTTGGCAGAAGCTAATGGTTATGTTTCCCTGCTTGTTTTCACAGGCTATTCGAAGTTTCCAGATCGCCTTGCATATTTATCCCCTCAGCTCTGAACTGTGGAATGAAGATCTTTCCTGGGCAAAAAAATTACAGCAACAGAAGAAAGCAACCAAAACTGAGACAGGAATGCAGAGGGCTGAGGAAAAAACGTTGGATGAGCCAATCCCAGATTATGATTTTGAAAGTGATGAGATCTTGGCTGTGTGCGCCGCCATTGCCGAAAAAGAAAAAAGCACTTCATCCTCTAAAACTGTAGTGATCGTATCAGCTTCAGGAGCCGTTGAGACTGTAACCGAACAAGAGGAATGTGCAACAGTCCCTGATGGTACTGTGTTTATCAAAGCACGATAATCTACATAGTCTCTTCCTGTCACAGCCATACATTTGGGGAATTGTTGCTGTTGTTGTTTCACTTGCTTTCCCCTCTGTTGGAGCCCCATCTTGGGTCACTAAGCACTGGAGATCCCTGCCCCATCAGATTAAGCTTCAGGAGGCACAGTGGCCATGGGTCTAGCAGGGCCAAGGAGGAGGCCGTATCTGGAAAACTGAACATCAGTAGCTTCATTGCTATTGTGTGCTCCCAGATTGAATGCTACTTTATACAAAAACACCCTTGCAAATTTGGTGCCTTCCCAATGTAACAGCCTACAAGTCCCACAATCCCCAGGTAGCGTGGTCCATGATGACGGTAGCTGAAGTTCATGGAAGGTGAAGTACAATCCCCCCAAAAGGCATCCCCATTGTGGAAACCTGGTGTTCAGTATAGGAAGAAGAAAACAGAGCAGCATGGGTTTGGAAATGGCGGCTTTGAAATAGGAACTGGAAGTTTTGGGTCTGTATATATTTATACTGCCAAAAATTACAGGATTCCTGTTTATGTTTTCCTAATCTGCCTTAATTTGTTCATAGCCTTGTGTGGGTGTGTATGCATGTGTGTGTGTGTGTATATAACCATACACAGACTGGAATGGCTTTGTAAGCTTGCTATCAACCCACTAACATCTGTTCTGACCATGATAAAGTAAAGCAGGGAATGAGGCAAAACCTTCACAGATGAGGTACGGAATGTGCTGAATATGTTTCAGACTGTAGTTTTTTGAGTCAAGGTCATACATGGTCTCATTCTGTTGTCTTAATGCAGTTCTCAGATGCAGTTCTCAAATGCTGCTTCTGATGCAAGATACTCTCGTTTTGCCAAATCCAGTTATAAAATATATTTTTACACTTGAACAAAATACATCAGGTGGCCTTTATGCTTCCCACTTCACCCTGCCTCAGAACTTTTAAAAAGGGGTTATTTTAACAAAGTTTGAGGTACTGGTAGTCCTCGCTTACCAACAATAATTAGGACTAGGAACTCCATCACTAAGCATCACGGTCATAAGGCACAACATCACGTGACCATGCTAAGTTGCAATGGCAATTCTGGTTGTCCCAGTTGCGGTCGTTAGATGAATGCTGTGTAGTCATGGTGTTCTGTGTTATGTAATCACCATTTGTGACCTCCTGCTGGCTTCCCTATTGACTTTGCTTGTCGGAAGCCAGCACTGAAGTTTGCAAATGGCGATCATGTGACCATGGGATGCTGTGATGTCATAATTGTGAGCTGATTGCCAAGCACCTGAATTGCAATCACATAACCATGGGGAAACTGCAACGGCCACAACTATGAGGACCCATCATAAGTACCCCCTGTTCAGTGCCATCATAACTTCGAACATTCTCTGAACAAGTGGACATTAAATGAGGATATTGTTGAGAAAATCTGTGGGCAATTATGTTTCCAGGGCATAATCCCTCTGCTTCAAAACAAAACAAAACAAATAAAACAAAACAAAACAAAAAAGCCCAGACTATTTTTTTTTTAATCAAAGAAAGAAAAATGCACTGCAGAGAAAGCAATTATCAGCAGCAATTTGGAGCATAATATAATTCAAATTGTGTACATTTAAACATGTATATTGCAGAATAATGGTGTAATCAGGCTTTAGAAGCTCCCTTTAAGTGATTCTTTCAATGCTAAAATAAAATATATAGTAGCTATAAAGAAACCATCACAGAGCTTTCAATATTTTGCCCATGTGATGGTTATTCTACCTAAAATCTTGTGGATGGGCAGTATGAAAATGCTGTAAATAGATTAATAAAATATGTCTAAGCCATCATTCAAGATGAGAGATGCAAGGCAAGGTGGGGGGGGGGAACCACGAAAAACATTCTTTTCAGGGACAGTTTGTTCTGCTTCTTCAGGGTCTTGTTTAATCCTTGTTTGATGGCTTTCTGGAATATTCAGTGTGGAGAAAAGTATGTGTATAATTATGCTCCTTTAGGCAAATCTGGCAATTCCTCTCTAGTTCCTACAGATAAGTTCCATGCATAGCATTTCCTAGGTCAAGCTTTAATCCAGAAGCTTTGTTGGTGGCCACAATAAATTTCTTAAAGCGGAGGAATTATTAATCCAGCAGGAACAATTGGTACAGTATACAGAGTTGGTTATAATGATTTGAAGCAATGTTTGAAGATCTTAAGTGAGGTTTTTCTATCCTATCATCATCCTCATCGAAGTTCATATGAAATACTTTTCATAAACTCCCACAGAGATCAAACCTTGGACTTAGATTATGAACTCTTTCTCGCAGAAGAAACGTGTCTCCCATTTATTCAAGACTGTTTTAGCCACCTGTATATATATTATTTCAAAATTTCCATTTACTTTAAACAGTCTTGTCCAACTGTATACAGTATTGCATTCTACAAAAAAAACTAGAAAATGAAATCACTGTCACAGCATTCGCAGAAGACAGCATAGCTCAGACTTGATCCAAGGAAGGTAATTTTTGGAGCGGGTGGATGCGCAGTCCTAGAACCTCTCTATAACTCTTTAAAGTGGATGTATCTTTTCCCAGAATTGTGTGGCTGCCCTTGGCAGCTGCCCCATGTTCCTAGGAAAAGATGCTTCTGCTTTAAATAGCAGACCGGGGCCACTTTTGTACACTGGCATGGTCTGAAACACTTTTTTGGAATTAGATCCAAGTTGAATGTAAATAGCATGGAGCAAGCTCCTCTGAGCATTTGAGGGCTTTTTCTGTCTGTCTTGAATGCTGCATTGTCCAGTAATAAAAATTGTTTAGCAGGATGAAACACCATGTCAAGACTTTCCTTCCCAATATGTAGCTTTACTAAATAATGCCATGAGAAACAGAACCTAAGCATACTGTTTTGGTTATTCCTATTCTATCGAAAAAACTGCCTTTATCAATCTTACTCTAATTTCTAAAGCAAGGTTATGTTTGGCATGCCTAGATGTCGGTGACTCTTCCTGTGTTGTAATCAAAGTTTGCTTCCTGTGTGAACAAAATCTGGGTGTAAAATATATGAAATCTGGAATGGTTGTATTCAATCAGCTTGAGTAATATAACTCAGATCAAGAATCCCAGTCCCGTAGGGTCATCAGCTATGTATTCTGGACGTAAGTATTTATAGGATGAAACATACAAAACTATAAGTAATTGCCTGAATGTTCCCTTATTCTTAGGGCTGGGCATTTTATATTCTTTAGTGCCTCTTTGGGAAAATTACCGTTTAGCAATTGTGTGTGTTGGGTTTATGAATATGTGAAGGCCTTCCTGTGAAGTTGTGTTAAGAATGAGTAAGCAGACACAGACTCACGCCGACTTTACCCAGTGGGTAAGTCTGCATTTAATTGTGATTTCCAAAAGAGGTTTGTGCCAGGACAGCCAGTTTCATAAGCCATCTCTGAAATTCAGGCTCAGAATTCTAATTCCAATGGAAAGCAATTCACATGAAAACCACATTAAGCAACATAACATGCTTAATATTTTTTCTTGACAAAAACCAGACCTTGAACATCAATACAGGATAATAATACTGGAACACAAAAATCTAACCCTTTGGACATGGCATAGAAAAACACAATTTCCTGTGGCCTTTGTTTTTTGTTTTTGTTTTAACCAAGAGAAATTTTAAGGAAATTTTTAAGGAAATTTTAAAATTGTATTTCTCATCTTATCTGTCATTGTTTTTAATGAACAGACCACACCACAGTAGTTGCTTTTTCTTTCAGTTGTAGTCCCCAAATCAGTTAAATTGGCTTATAAAGTGTAGTGCTCTTTTTATACCAGAAGCATTAGTGCAAACTACAAAATTTGCTGTAACAAGTGGGCAGTGTTAGAAATACCTGAAAGGTCACAAAAGCAATAGTGGTGGTAGTTTCTCATGCTCCAAATTCATCACAACTGCAAATGGATAATTGCAACACACCCACGTTCCAAAACACAAGACCAACAACCATCTCTACAAATACTTTGCACAATATGTACGCATATTATGCACACAGAATGCACAGAAAGAGCCAGTCTGCTGTAGTGGTTAAGGCATCAGGCTAGAAACCTGGAGACTGTAAATACGACTCCCACCGTAGGCATGAAGCCAGCTGGGTGACCATGGGCCAGTCACTTTCTCAGCCCAAGGAAGGAGGCAATGGCAAACCACTTCTGAAACACCTTGCCAAGAAAACTGCAGGGACTTTCCAGGCAGTCTCCGAGAATTGGACATGATTGAATAGATTTTTTAAAAAAACACAACAAACATGTTTGGCATTTCCTGTGCTTCTCAATTTCTTATAGAATGGTCCCACCCTCCAGATACCTTGGATGTATGACCTCCAGAATTCCAACAAGGCTAGTTGTTTGCAAATTCTAGGCTAGTTGTTTGCAAATTCACTCCAATACAGACTGGGGAAGGCTGATGTAAACTATAACCTTAACAAGGAAGAATGGAAAAATATTGCTCATGTAAGCATTTGGCAACCGTATCTCCATTTACATAGAGTGGAATGTATACAAGATAAGCACCTCCGAAGTCAAAACCTTTCAACAGGATGTTTTCAAGAGTGGTAGTGCCGTGTACTGTACAGCTGCCAACTCTTACATGGTCACTGATAATGCAGAGATTGATGTGGTGCTCATTTGCATATGCGTAACATTTGCTGTGGACCTTTTGGGGGCTGCCATAAGTACACAAACAGCAGTGGCTGGATATAAACACTTTCCATTAAGACGCTGGTGGCCTTCCTCAATCCTGGTTGGGCATAAGCACTATGGGGAAAACACTGATTACATTAAGTAGCCCACAGATTAAGATGCTTTCTTGCACTGAATTCTGAAATACTTCTGAGCAAACACATTTAGGATTAGGCAAAGAGGATGTTGGCTAGGGATGTATGTTTTGGACCTTGATCTTGTACGCATGTGAAGAAGTGCTTGAATGAGCAAGAATTGATATTGTGGGATGTACTTCTGAGTAAAGCCTCAGTGGGCCATCCATCCATACCAGACATTAACAGAATTGCATTATTAGCTAGGATCCACCACTTTTCAAAGAGAAATTCACAGCACATATTTTTTTTTATTTTTTTTTTAAGGATGTGCAGTTCCATAGCTGTGTCCATGGAGTCACAAAGAGTCAAGGTTGACTCAAAGGAGACTTTAGACAATATGAGAAACATTTTAAAAACATAAAAGCTTTTATTATTCCCATAGTGGTATCAAAACATGTTCCCATGTAATTCCAGATTCCTCAATTCTCATCTCATGAATCAGCTCTATTTTGGCCTGTTGAGTCTGCAAATTTCAAAAAATAAATCTAATGCAAAATTATCTAACAGCAGACATTAAGAAAGGAGTGCTGACCATATTACTTTTTTTTATACTTTGTATTAATAATAAACCTTCTCACAGAGAAGAATATAGAATCCTTAAATATAGTCAGTCACAATATTTCAGCCAGAAAAATTCACATTTTTTTCACACCATAGAAGAGATTTTCAGTTCCATATCAACTGGACCAGTTTGTTCCTCCATTAGCAACTATCTTGTACTTAATTCTCTCTAAGCTATGAAGGGTGGGTTGAAGTGGAATAAGTATGCTTCAGTCATGTACAGATGGAGAAGATTGGTGACTCTTTTCAACACAGACTTTGTGGAGACAGTCCTATCTCCCAGGGCAAGGTAAGGCAACAGGCAGCAACCTGTGCTTCAGACACCATTACATTCCTCTGTTACTTTAGCAGGGTTTGATGGCAGAAGATGAGTCATTCCTTGCAAAAGCCTGTGCTTATCACATAACAGGAAAGATCCAGCAGCTGCATCTTTCCTTACAACCAATGTTGAGAGAGATGTGACTGCTGCAAGTCAAGGTGCTTAACTCTGATGGCGACTAGTTCAACATTCCACATGGGCTCCCACCCGATGCACATTTCCAGTCCATCTTGCCCTAAATGGCTATTTGCTCCCCAAGCCTGGGGTAGGAAAAGCCAATTAAGCTTCAGGTATGTGCCTTAGCCAGAATAGGCCAACAGAATGGGTGGCAAAGATGGGCATTTGGCATGTCCATTGTACCAGTTCCCCACTTGACTTCTTAAGGACCAACTGTGTCTTAATTCTTTCTACTGCTTATATACACTTCTCTGAGAAGTCCAGAGTTTCACTGGGAAAAGTGACTTGAAGGGAGCTGCCCTTTGGAGTGCTACTAACTACACCACTAGGCCTTAGCTCATTCACCAAAAAAGTATTCTCACAGTCCTGCCCCTGAGAAGACTCTGAGGTGTTTGAACTCCTTAAGGTCCTTATAGATGGAATATCTGACTTGGCAAGACAGCTGCTGGTTCCTGGTAACAGCATACGGTCCCCAACCGTCCCTTCACTTGACTCCAGGGGGTATAGCAGAGTCTGTGAAGTGCTACTGATCTCCCTCAACTCACGAGAGATGAAGGAGGGTGAATGGCTGGCTGTGACAGAGGAGGTCCTGTGGCCATCTGCCCAGTTGCAGTTGTTTCCTGAGTGCTGCCGGCGAGCCCCACCAATGCGGCAGAAAAGACACTTGACCTTCTCAATGGCTTTGCTCAACACCGTCTTGCGCAGCAGAATGTACACCCATGGATCAAGGATGGGGTTCACCGAAGCTATACGGATCGCTTGCAAGTCTGGGTTCTGCTGGATGTCTTTTACTATATCCGGACGGTACAGCTGATTCACAAAGACACGCACCTGGAGAAGAAATGAATACATATATAAATAGAGTCCATATGTAATTTGATGACAGAAGGCCAGGCTGATTTTTCAAAGCCAAGAGCTGGCTTAGCATCTGACTGTTAGAACAGGAAGGGAGATGGGAGAATGGGTAAAATGCATGGCATTCTGTAATGTCAGATGGGAGCTATTTTCAGAATGGGAAAAAATTTCTAGCCACTTGATTTCATGCAGAGATAAAAGACCTTTCCCCTTTTCTAGTTTATCTAAGTCGCCAGAATATCCAAGAGTCAATTAACCTTTTGTGAATTATTTTCTGAAAAACTTGCTGTCTCTACCGTATGCTTCTGAATCCTGAATTTAGAGCTCTGAAGTTTTTCTGAGTTTTCGTTTTCATTAATAGCGAACTCTTTTGTTCCTTGTATAACCAAAGCTGCTATTAAGTGTGTTGGGTGTGTAAGGAACTACAGAATATGGCCTTGAGCTATTCTGGGAGATCCAGCCAATCATTAAAAGCATCAGTCCCGCCACCCCTCGCCACCCCCCACAAATACCTGTTTGGAAACAAAGTTAGAGACACTTTTCCACTTCACAGGCAAATTTTCTTTCAAGGACAGGCCTAGAACTGTGGACTCTTTGAGGTTAGAACCCAACTTTTGCTGGAATCCTCCAAGACTTGAACATTCAAGAAAAAGGTGTTGCTTTTTTTAACACCTTCCAAATTTTGCCTGTAGTAGCTTGTTAAAAGTTATTTTCTTGAAAGACAGCTTCCCTGGAATGAATTTTTTTTTTTCCAAATAAAGAACATGATGATGCACAGTACCCAATTATGCTCTTGACGGTGTTTTGTGCCAATTTGGCAAGTCCTGTTAAAATACATTACAGAAATTCTGGCGGTAGACCCATGAACAGTTTCAAGGGGTACAACAAATGTATAGGGTGGCAGTCAAAAATGAAAGGTGCCCACAGGAGTTGAAGCCCACGTAACTGTACCCTAGGTGCTTTGTTGCAGCAAAAGTTCTAAATCTGAGATGCTTTTATGTAGAGGAGGTCAACCTGGAGGCTGTAAGTAGCCCCAAACTCTTTCTTGTGGTCCCCAATGCTTTCCATCATTGCCTCACCTAAATTCAACAGCAATTTGCCAAATATCAGCAACACTATTTCCTGCTGAATTTAGTCACGTGAACAAAGAAATAAGATACTAAGCACACCTTAAATTAAAAATAACAAAACTCCCTAAAATATCAATGCCCATTTGTGTGGCGTTGATATAATATCTCACATTTCTTCTGTGTGTTCTGGCATGGAGCCCTGTGGAGTCAGCTAGAAGCAGATTTAGAAGCAACAACATGAGCCTTGCAAAAGACACAGTTGCTTTAATGATCCAAAAAAGGTGATTTGTATGAGTGCCTATGAAAGCAACTTTTTCAAATCCTTTGCCCAGCCCTAATTTGTGAGCCTGCTGACTGAAACAGGTTTCCAGTCTCTGCTGTAGTTTTTTTTAAAAATGAGCACGTGCTTGTTAACTTGACGGAACTAAGTACTTATCACTGCACTGCAGATGAAGTGGGGTCTGCACACTTCAAAAACTGCTGGAAAGAACTGCTTTGGATTTTGGATTTTGCACAAGCACAGCTGGAGAGCAGCATCTTTTTTCAGACTCCTGCAGAAGACCTTAAAAAGTTGGGCAACTTTAACGAACGGCAGAGAGGTCCTGTGCCCGAGGTTCAAAGGACTTCTGAATCATGTTCCAAGTGTGCACATTTGAGAAATGAGCTGTTGGACTTTAGCAACTAAGTTTGGATTGCAGTTGTGAAGGGCTGTACATAAGGACTGTAGGATGTGCCATTTCCTTCTCCCAGGCTGGAGGAAAATTGCTGACTGCAGGGAGGAGGATCCGGTAGGGGATTTCCCCATTTCTTTCCTATCATTTTCAGAGATTGGCTTCTTCTGGGATGGGTAATCAAAAAATCAAAAAGACCCAGAATTGGGAGAGCCTGCCTAAATGTCCTTTCTTTCATTTAATATTTCAAAACAAGAAACTTTTTAATTTGCAATACACAAAAAAGGAAAACGACAGAGTTCTCAAGTTTGTCCAGTCTTCTGCAGCTGGCAGAGAAAACTAGCACTCAAGAGCTCAAAAACTGCAGCCTCTGACCCAATATGACTGCTGTGTAAACTGCAGTTTAAGCTCTGTTTCAAACCTAAACTCTTGCTAGGTGAACTCAGGCAAAGAGCAATATCTAACGGCTGCCTATGTGTACAATATGTAAAAATGATACTGATCTTTCAGCTCTCGTTCTCAGCCTTTTGCATTTCACCATGCTGGAAATAAAAGACTGTTTTCCAAAGACATTTTATTTACTTTAAAATATTACGGGATGTACTGCATGTAGGGCAGCGTGCAAAAAAAGTTATTTATGTTCCTCTCCCTGCCACCGTGCATTCTGCCTCTCAAGTCCTAGAGGACTTGAAAATAAAAATTTAATTCCCACTCTAGCGTGGGAGAGGAGCTAAACTAGCAATCCTGCACCGAAAAGGCTTCTAAGCTTTCCTCCCACCCAGTGTACAGGTTGCAATCATCCGTACACAGCCTTCTTACAGGACAACAGCAGTAATATTTATGAACCTTTTAAGTATTAGAGAATGTGATGTACGTTATATTTATTAAAACTTAAGGCTGCAAGTTTTCATACTAAATCAGGGGTTCCTGTACTAATCAAGAGAACTGGAAGTTATATCCCTATATTTGTGGGGATATGTGGATACTGGTATTTGACTATAACAAGGGAGAAAGAAATTTTCTTCTAATAATCAGTGGGTTTTGTTGTTTATTAAACTGGAACTCATCGTACTTGCGATTAATATTATGAGAATATATACCCAAGCACAACTTTGAAAGAACAGTCCTTCCCAGCATTCTTTTCTCATTCATTTTCAAGTTTGCATCTTTCATGAAAAGCAAAAATTACAAAGTGATTTGAACATCAACAGCACTTTGAACATCAACAGATGAGTTTTGCCACTGGTTGATATCATCTGAAATGTACATTTATTTATCTTTCTGGTGCTGCAAGATTTCTTGTTCTTGAAATATGACTCTTAAATTTTGTACATTAGTTGATTAACTCCAATTATATTTTTCCTAATTGATTGATCAGAAATTTTATTGGCTGAATATAAATGATCGGATTTCTAACCACTAGATGGCACAGTAACTACATTTCTTGCAGTTTCTTCCCTTTCTTGCTATCTCATTTAAGAAAGCATGAAAAAGAAAGAAGAGAACTGGTTGATTACTATCAGATTTTGTTCTAAATAGCTGGATCAAACTCAACATTTGGTTTTATACAGGATAAAAGTGGTGACAAAAACAAAGAAAAATAAGTTAAACTGCCAACCGATTAGAATATACAAATTAAATGTACAGGCCTTTCACCTAATTCAGAGTACCAACAGGATTTAACTGAGTTAGTAGTTAACCTTTATTAATTTATCTATACATTAGTCTATTAGTGTAACTTAGTCTAAAATTATGTTCTGGGAATCTCTAGGTTCTTTGCAACCTTACCAGAAACTCCTCAGTGAGATCAGTAATGGTGAGACGATTCTTTAAATGTTTTCCACCATTTGTGATATTATCAGTAATATATAGAGTTAAAAAAGGAGGGGGGGGGATACATATGATTTTATGCACGCAATTCCACTTCAAGTTTTTTTTTCTTTTTCTTTTCACGCACAGCAAGTATGATATCCCTAACTGGAACTGGGATAATTGAATAAAAAAAGGAGAGCTGGAAACCTTAGCCTCTGAAGTTGGACCAAATGGAATTTAAAGTTCCTTGCTTGCAGTTCAAACAGGTTTCATTAAAACAAATGGAACCTTCTTTTTGCAATGAGGTTTGTAGGGATCTAGATTTCTAAGCCACAGAAGAAGGGCAATCTTTAACCTCTGCATTACAACCCTAATGCAGATCAGAGCTTTTGCTGTCGTTATTTGTAAAATATATTTAAAGCTTAAAACAAAAACACTGAAGTGAAAAATAAAACAAAAAAATGCTGCATGAATATGTACTCTAAAACCGCTCCCTATACCTTTTTAAAATATGGCCCTTCAATCCCTCACAGAAATTTCAGAGCAAAAGTTCAATTCTTCTTTAGTAGACCAGTTGCTACAAGAAGTGTTCCATAGAGATAGACGTCTGAAAAACAATGACCTGGGGAAGTAATATTTCATCGCCTACGCTTCTTTGCAATTAACATTTTCAGTGGGTAAAATGGAGGAAATATTAAGAGGCTTGCCAAAAGCTACTTGTAATTCCTAACAAACAGGAATTGAAGATAGACCCAAGTCTGAAACATCAGTCCAATCCAATGGAGTACAGATAGTCCCCAGTTTAAGAACGAGTTCCGTTCCCACAGTCTGTCCTTAAGTTGAATTGGTACGTAAGCCGGAACAATCTTATTGTATAATACTGTATAAGTAGTATTGTGTAATGAACTTGAACCATTGTGTATTTAACTCAAATTTTGCTACAATAGGCTACGTTCTTAACTATTGGTTGTCTGTAACCTGGGCTGGGGACTACCTGTATATGAACTGCCTAGTTGCATACTGATAAATAAAAGAAATTAAAATGATGATTAGCCAAATTCCTCTCACCCTCCCTCAAATACCTACACTTCATCTTAGAGTTATATGGTTCCTGGACTATTCTTTCTTTGATGTTTCATCACAGATGGAGGTTCAACATCTTGGAGAAACCTAACAATCCTATATTGAAGGCTAATTTGATCAAGGCTGGAGGTGTATGAGAAGAAAAAGCAGAAACTCCCCCTTTTTATATATTGCAGATCCCCACCCCACCCCCATCTCTATATATGTGTGGGAGTTCCATGGTTCAAAGACCAAGCTGGATGAAAATTATGGCCATACTGGCTAGGAATCATGGATGCTGAAATTAAACCCACTTGGAACATTCCAAATTGGGAAGTATTGAATGTTCTGCAGTTGTCCT